TATATATTGTTCTGTATTGTCATCTCTGTGTCCCTCTGCAGGCGTTTTGGTACGAAATGTGCGGGCTGCTTGCAGGGCATTTCGCCCAGCGACCTCGTGCGAAGAGCGCGCAGCAAGGTGTTCCATCTGAACTGTTTCACGTGCATGGTGTGCAACAAACAGCTGTCCACGGGCGAGGAGCTCTACGTCATCGACGAAAACAAATTTGTGTGTAAAGAGGACTACATGAGCACGAGCGCTATCAAAGAGGTCAATTTAAACTCAGGTGAGAACGACGACTGGAGCTGTGCGTTTAAGGTTTAAGAAGTGTGTGTGTGTGACAGAGAGAGAAGGTTTCCATCCCTCTGAAAGAGTCTGACTCAGTTGTGTGAATTAAGGGTTAATGACACGGCGCTCTTTTTTATCGAGTTCAAAATTACATTCAAACCCAATTCATATAAAATGAATTGATTAACATGATTTCTATTGTTATTTATTTTTAAAAAGCAGGGAAGCAATTCCTTTTTTAACATGATTAAAAGTTATATCAATGTCACTATGGCATAACCAGCATGCAGGAAGCCATGTTGTTGTCATGTGATATGAACTCTTTAAAATAGAGAGAACACCCTCATAACCGTGTCAAGGTCATTATATTCATTTTGACCTTTTTAATAAAATCCTTAAGACTTGATATTCATAAAGAAGAAGAAAAAAATAACTATATTTGAAAATAACGATTAAGTGTCCAAGAACAATATTTAGACATTTTTGCTGGATGGTTACACCATATGACATTCATTAAATCAATTTTTTTTTTTTTACAAAACTGTATACGTTTTTTGAAAGTAACACGAATACAGACGATTATATTTCTAAAAACTTTGCACGTTTTAAATTAGATATTAAGATTTCTTAAAATGAATCTATTCGTGTTATTAACCTTCAGGGAAGCGCATTCGTTTTTCATTAGAATACATCAATACACATTTTCATTTTGTAAGACATTTTAATTTGTGTGTTTGTTTGTCGTCTAATCATTATATAGGTATATTGTCTAACGTGCTACGTATCTTTCTAAGATGTAAATGCATATTAACAGAGCTCCTGTGTTGTGTTCAAATGTCAAATCCATTGAAAGAAAACGACTAGCCCGATTCAGAGGTGTGTTGGTTCACTATTTACGCGTGTCCTCGTGACTGTGATGCTCACGAGTGTTCAGAATCACGGACACGCTGTTTGTTTTCCAACACACAGATGACATCATTATCGCCTCCACTTGTGGGTCAGTGCTAGTCCAATTAATTTAACAGCGACAGAGTGCTTCGTCCAGTCGCGTTAAAAGGGACGTACAACACTCAGATTCATTAATGCAGCAAATTGTCTTTTGAAATGTATGGCGTGCTATTTTTACAGTAATCCTGCTTCTGAATGGCTTGTACAAATGCATATTTGTAAGAAAAAAAATCCAGCCAAGGCCACTATAAGGATAAGTCTCACCGGTTTTTTTTTATTGATCATGCAAAATGTTTTTTTTTTTTTTTTTTTTGTAGAATAACTTACTTTAGAATATTAATACGAGAGTAAATGCAAGCCTTTTTAATATGATGTCATGATAGTCCATGTCCGTGAATATGATCCAGTAAATCAATTTTTCACTGCATGCTAAGGACTCTTTTGGTTTAGTGTTGTCCACCTATGGAGAAGTGTCCATAACTCATTCTCCTCTGCCCATGCGTTCTTGTCAGATAAACGTCTGTAGTCGTCTATTCGCGCTTCTCAGACAATGACAAGCTGTTATCAAGCACAGCAGCCTGTCCCAAGAGACAACCAGACTTAATTCCTCTGATATTTTGCAGAAGTGATTCCCGTTTAGACCTCTGTTTGCTTTCTCATGTTTCTTTGTCTTTCTTTCGTATTTTTATTATTATTAATAATTTATTTATTTATTTCTTGGTCTGTCATATTAAAGCCAGAAGGCCTCAATATTTGATGGTCCTGCGTAAAACCCACAGTTTCAGCGTGATTCATTGTGTTTCAAACTTTCTTACGCACAAACTAGTTTAAATGTGTGTAAATCAATGTCTAGTAGTAGAGTTATGTAAATTTACTCGCTCAAAAATGTTATCCCAATACCTCACACCTCATTTAATTCAAAACTCACATGTACACACACAAATTAAGGCCATTTGTGTGTGGGTCCAGAAAAAGTACAAACCTGCACGTCTGGTCAGCCATGATATTTCTATTTTGTAATCATGTAGATGAAATGTTAAACTGATGTTCTACATCAAATTAAACAAATGAGCTTGACGATTCAGATGATGCAGTTGTATTATTTAACATCCATTAATATAGTCACACATCACATTATAAGATGATGTGTAAGAGGATGGTGATGGTATCTTACAGTGAAGAAGAAAAAAATGTTATGCAATGAGTCTATTACGTTCCTAATTTCTCCTTTATCATACCTCAGTGTCATCGTGTACGGACCGGAGTTTATCGCCTGATCCGATCCAGGACGACACGAAGGAGACAGACAATTCCACCTCCTCAGATAAGGACACTAACAACAACGAGAACGAGGAGCAAAACTCGGGCACGAAGCGGCGGGGCCCGCGCACCACCATCAAGGCCAAACAGCTCGAGACTCTGAAAGCAGCGTTCGTGGCGACGCCAAAGCCCACGCGACACATCCGCGAGCAGCTCGCACAGGAGACAGGCCTTAACATGCGAGTCATACAGGCAAGCATACACTTGGATTCATTTATTTATTTAGGCCATTCCACGATATTCAATTCTGAAAAGTCATTTTATAGGCCATCTGCATTTCTTTAAGATTTTAAACATTCTATAAGATAATACAAGCATTCACCTCGAGCTAAATTAAATAGGCTAATATATGTATAGGATATCGCCACATGTTTTTGTCGTTTATTTATCATTTTTTAAGTAACCGTTACAGAGGAACAACCACTACTGTCCTAAAGTTCAAGGTCACGACACTAATGTGTTTATTAGAGAGGACTTTTAATGCTGATGTTTCTCCAAAGTTTTAAATAATCAGTTGTATTGTACAAAATCATTGTTTGACAAGGTCGACATTTGAAGATCATCCCCCTACTGACAAACCTTACAAAATATAAGAAAGTGAAACAAGGGGACACTTTTAACTTCTTCTGGAAGTTCATCATGAAAGAATAGTAGTTACTATGAGTATAATAATATAACAGGTAATGAGAAAGTAATATATATATATACTTGGCTTGTCATATTTGTAGTGTAAAGTTCTGGTACATATAAATTGTCAAAATGCAAATATAGGTTGGAATTTTCACAGTTGTAAAGCAGTTAATTAAAGTCGTTAATGGATTTTTATCAGGCAGTAGGCCCTGAACAAAAAAAAAAAGCAAGATAATGTCAGCTACAAGATAGGCTTGTCAGTTCCTGCTGAGAAAATATGAATGTGAAAGACAGTCTGTTCTGACAGCAATTACAGCCTTCCGTTTCTACTAAATTTAAGAACTTTCTGTGTACAAATTGCTCAAATAATTGAAGAGGTCAAATTTAATTGGAGTGGTGTTGGTTGACAAACACAACCATGCTGTAAAGTCCAGGTAAAGATCAACGCCATAGTGAGAACGAGAGTTTTCCACCAGTTTTCAGTGAAACATACCAAAAGTATTAAGTCCTGAAACATTTAGTAATTTTTATATATTATGAAAATATTACAATTTAGGAGCTTTGTGGAAAGGATGACTTGATTATAAATCTAATGAAATTATCAAATTCAGCAAAAAATACAGCATCTTAATATGGATTTATCACCAGGTCCATATACAATTAAAAAAGCAAAAGGAACAGCAAAAGGAACTTGATTCTTGATCTCTGATGACTAAAGTTATCCTGGGTTATATCTGTGAACTCAAGCACACAGCTCATAATGTGTCCGTCATCATCAGGAAATCACAACCCTCTCTGAATCCCAGCAAGGCTCAGTGCTTTGTTTCTGAGCCAAAATGGAGACGGCCTTTGCCACACATCCCCGTTCATTTGTTATGTGTTAAATGTGGATTGCGCTCTGCGCGGGGAGCCCTCCGGAGCCATGCCGGTTCAGCAGCATGTGTGTGTAATCCCTAAGCAACGCTCACTCAGGAGGAGGCAAAACATTTCCATAAAAAATGTACCAAACAGTTAGCCGATTGTTCTCAATAAGCAGGTGTTGCCTTTGCTGAGCATGGAGAGGAATGCTTAAGTGGTTTTAGGTAGTGAACATGTTTTGTCTCTCTAATATAGTCTCTCTCACTCTCTATTTTTCTCTTTTGTACATGGATTGTGCCTCCAGAGCAGACTAACTGTTGTAAGCATATATTATGCAGTGGCAATGCAGATTCAGGCATGAATGTGTTACATTGTACCATCATGCATAACAATGTCACCTTATGTCAGACATTTTCACATCATCCTCTGCTCTTTGTTCCTGCACAAGCAGTTTATATGATAACAGTGTGAAAAACGGCCCTCGTGGTGTTTGTTGAAGTAGACGGTTGTGATTCTTTTGACTAAAAGGTTATATTTGAGTTCCACCAGCACAGTGGTATGTCAAATTGCGTTGGTCTTACTAAAAGATTGAAACAATGTTTGACAGTGATGAGTCTGATATTGCATCTGTCACACTGTTATATCAGGTCTATTTGTAATGAGCTGGTGGCTTCATGATCAAACGATACTTGTCAGCACCGGGGTGTCTCAGAAATTATATGCGTGCATGCACTAAAATGGACTGGTGAAATCATCACAGCATATTAATTTTCACAGGAATATAAATCTTAAGAATCTATTGCATTGTAGTTCAGTAGCACTATAGATTTGACAAGACTTATTTAACAAGCCGGGCAGGATCAATTATTGTGTGTTAGATTCTTTCATTAATAGGTTGAGCTGCAAGGAATAGTGTGTGTAATTATAACGAGGCCAACTTTGGTAAATATTTCATACTGCTCCATTCATCCTCTTGGTATTTGGTTAAATTGGTCACATTATTATCTATATAATGGCATTTCATAGCTTAACCTAGCATGTTTCGGATGAAATTTGTATGTTTCTTCAAGCAAATGTGCTGCTAATACCATTAAATCAACAAGAGTGTTGATAGTAAATCACTAAGAGTAGCTGGTTTTCTTTTAGTTTTTGTATGTACTGTATGTTATAAAAACATTACAATCTTATTTTCCTCTTGCAATGGCTAGAAAAATGTAACCCTTAAGGAAAAATCTGTCATTATTTACTCACTTTCATGTTGTTCCAAATCTGTATGACTAACTTTCCTCTGCCAAACACAAAAGAAGATATTTTGAAAAATGTTTTTGGCTATTCAAAGGGTCAAAGTTGTTTGGACCCCATTTATGTTCATTTTGTAGCCAAAAACAGTTCTTCAAAATATCTTCTGTGTGTTGCCTTCTTTTGTGAAGAAAATCCCTTTAACAAACATAAGACAAGTCGTAATGAAAGTAAATATCTTGTTTCGTTGTTGTACGTGGTCTAATTACTTACAATACTCATCTAAACCATCAGGTCACCTGGACAGGCGTGTAAAATGACCCGTTTTCTAATTGGATAATCAGAAGAATGTGAAATGTATAAACATGTGAGGTAGCTCTCATCTCACGTACCTCTGTGGTGTAATTACATAGTATATAATTGTGGCTTTGCCTTGTAGGTGTGGTTTCAAAATCGTCGGTCTAAAGAACGCAGAATGAAGCAGCTCAGCGCTCTCGGTGCTCGACGACACGCTTTCTTCAGGGGACCACGCAGAATGAGGCCACTCGGAGGAAGACTAGAGGACCCAGACATAATGGGCCCTGGAGGATACAGCTACTATGGAGGTACATCATGAACACAAAGAATGTTCTTTCTGACAAAACACATTTACACACAATAATATTTGCTGTCTCTCACTCACATGCCCTGTATCTTTCAAGGCTTTTCTCTTACCTGAAAGCACAAAGACTCTTACAAGCAGTTTCTCTCCTGGTATTAAGATACTTCAGCATCACCCATCATTCCTCAGAGCTTTAACACCGAATCCAAAAACTATGATTATGTCGTCAGAGCAGAAAATAAGAAATATAACACTGGCATCCAATGGAGTTCATTGGAGAACTCTGCAGAGAAATCTGATTAACAAGACCCTGAAAGCGATAAATTATGTGCGTTACCTGTTGCTTGACATTCCAGCTTGGTCTCTTTGATTGGATTTTGCACACTTCTGGTATCTGACATACTAATAGGTGTTTGGCAGAGATGCGAGCAGTGTTTTCATTTCTGTAATGAGTGAACACAGCAATACAATCAGAATACAGACACCAACCATTCTACAAATAATTGAAAAAGTGCATATTTCAAATCCTTCAAAAAAAAAAAAACATACATTTCCAGCTTTTAGAACGTGGAAACAGATATATAACATACTGATCTCTAGAGGTCTGGCATTGATGATTTGACTATCTATCACACAGTGAGCAAGTGGTGTTTCTTTATAGTAAAATGTCTTTCGATGATTGATTAGCACATTAAAGTATCACAACTGCAGGAAAAAAATAATGGAATTGGGGAGGAATGTTAATGACTTTCTGTAGCACTAATTATATAGGCCAGTCGCAAAGGTACGACAGAGTGAGAGGATGGATATGAGAGTAAAAATGAAGAAACATGCCTCTGCACTCTCCTACGATTTCCACATTTATGTCCTCTTTCCTCACCTTTCATTTGAGTATTTTCATTCATGAGCACTTCTTATTCGTCCGCATTGTCTTTGTTACACTCTCATAATTCAATTTTTTGGTCGTAGCCAAACTATTCTGACACATTGTCTTGGAAAATTAGAAAAACATGAAATTGGGCATCAAATAAAAGTATTACTCATTGTGAGTTAATTAAATGTCATGTACACTGATTCTTCGAAATGGTAAACAAAACAGATCATTGGAGTACATTTTACAAGAATATACTATTTCAGTTTTTCTACTTCAAAATTTCGCATTTAATTTAAGGTGTTACTTGCCATTTTGTTTTACTACTTTGTGAAATTTACTAACAATTTTTGAGTGAAAACGGTTTCTACCCCAATTTTTTCTTCAGTGTACTCAACCCCAAAAGCACTTTTTCTTTTAAATATCAGCAGCATTACTGATTTCTCTATTTTTCTCTTCAGAATACCAAGGCGACTATTACGGGCCAGTGGTCAACTACGATTTCTTCCCTCACGGACCCCCTTCCTCACAGGCGCAGTCTCCTGCCGAGTCCCCGTACCTCCTCAGCTCAGGTTCAGGAGCCCTGGAGGGCGGCCCGGTCTCTGCTCTCCACCCCTCAGACGACCAAAGGTTCACAGACATGATCTCCCACGCAGATACCCCCAGTCCTGAGCCAGGCATGACCGGACCGCTCCATCCAAATCCACAGGGGGAGGGTGGCTTCACAGGGGGTCCGAGTCCACCCTTCCCCCTGGCCAACAATACCAGTTACAGTGGCCCCATGTCCCTTCCTGGTCAAGAGATGGGGGAGAACACTGTTTGGTAGGACAGAGAGACAGGAAAGACTCTGAACTATGCACACAGAGGGAATTCCTTCCTAACTGGTCTACCTTAGTGCTATGTTACTGAGGGAGGGCTTATTGGCTGGTCATGGACCAGAACAAACCAATATTTGGACCATAAACCTGAAAGGTGGAAAGACATCAAGTGCAAATGACCCTCTCTTGAAGTTTAGTTTCTACTGTCAAGGGATGTATATTGTCAGTGGTCATCTTGACCGATCACATTGGTTTGATTCCGTTGATATGGTTTCCTGAGTTCAATATTATGATTGCGACAGTAGCTCAGATCTTCGTCCAAGAGGTTTTCTACTGCTTTGACTTACTGATTAGCAAAACTTGTCAAACTGCATTTGATGGTCAGAAGTGAGCTAGTACTTAAAGGTAAATCCATTTTCATCATTTTGTTGGCTTTAGTTTCTTCCTTTTCCGAGATACTGAGGCTTAATTTGTTCAAATTAAAAAAAAAAAAAGTTTTCTGTTCTGTCTTAAAACTGGTCCATTTGTAACATATTTGGTTCATTCATTAACTGCTGAATTGGTTCATTAAACATTTCAATGAACACTCGGTATACCCGTGTTCTGATGAATCTATGCCTGTCAAAACACACTTTGCGCTAATCAAATATCTGATACGTAATTGGACTTACAGGTACACTGAATCAAATTATAACGTGTTTCAGAGGGAAAAAGTTATTTTTAGTTGAAACAGAACTGATAACCCTACTGTGGTCAAATTGACCCAAGAGTCTTAACTTCAATAACCAACAAGCCAACTGCTAATTTATTATAAACAGTTTCTAATTTTAGTATATAAGATGTCATTAAGTTCTAGACAGAAACGTTGATGTTAAGTTGCTGTAGGGTTAAAATGACCCTCAAACAGCAAAGAAGGGTTAACTAAACATTAGGTTGACTATGAGAGGTAAATGATTTTGGATTTGAAAACACCTGGGACAATTGCGTTTAGCACTGCGTACGTCCTGAAGCTGGATATACATATTCCCTTTAGGTTGTTTCAGAAAGTAGTTTTTCAGTAATAGTTTTTTTTGTGTGTGTGTGTGTGTGTGACAATTTAACAATTCAAGGTCCATGATGTCACCATTAGTTTTTGTGACATCACACAAAAGGAAGTTGCCACTTCACAAGAGGACAAAATCGATAACAACTATGAATATCTTGTTTTATCTCTCTCTTTTTTTAAATTCAGTATTCACACTTAAAAACAAACATATGCACCTGCAACACATGGAGACATCTGCCTTACCCAAATCACCTCCCATCCCCCATCTTCTGCATAGAGGCCACTGCATAGAGGTCATTGAGAAGCTTGCAGAAACGCCTGACGAGCCTGTGCTTTGTTCAACTTCATTTAACCTTCACTTTAGTACCTTGCTTTGAAAAAAAATGTTTTAATGGAAATTATTTTCAAAAGAACATTGATGCCATAATGAAAAATCTCCTTTAACAGCTGAGGTCTCTCTTCTCAATGGGGGGAAAACAAAAGGATGGGACAGGCAACATCTGTGACTTACCACTGCACCCTGAACAGCCTCCAGACTGAAAGCAGGCGCCATCTGATGGGCTAGTGAAGAAAAACAATCGTCTAGGCAAATGTCACCTGGACATAGGGGGCATAATAATTTAGTAAGAATTTAATTAACTAGTTTTGACACTAGAAAATGTAGAAACTGGCACTACAATATTTAGGTTTAAAGGATTCAAGGTACTCAAATGGGAGTATATAAAATGGGTTACATTTAATTTCTTAAGACATCCCAGTGTTGGCTAACTGTTGTTAAACCAAATTTGTCTTGCTTATCAAATTTCTCAATCTTATAGTCCACCAAACAAAAATCACCACAGTCACTAAAGAAAACAAACCACCAAATAAACCAAACCACAGAAGAAAAGTCACTAAACAAAAACTAAAACAATCTTAGAGTTGACCAAACAAAACTAATCGCCAAAGTCACTAAACAAACTAAAGCACCAAACAAAAATCACCAAAGAAATGTCTCAAAACAGAAAGACTAAATAAATCTTAAGAGACCACCAAACAAAAGAGCAAAGTAACCAAACAAAACAAATCACAAAAAAATGAAATGATCTTAGAGCCAACCAAACAAATCAGTCACTAAACAAACCAAAAACAACAACAACAAAAAACGTAGACAATTTTAGAGCAAAGAAACATCACTAAACAAGACAAACTACCAAACAAATCGACAAAGAAAAGTCACTAAACAAAACAAAAACAGCCAAACAAAACAAACAGGCCTTATGATGGGAGTCTCACCAAAGGTCCTTCATACTGTAGTCTACTCATTAGGTCTAGGGAAGTTTGGCCCACCCATAAAAATTGTCGACTTACCTGGATGAATATTTTTTTATAAAGCCAACGCATAAATTCTTAGCACCCTTTATGGGTAGTTCTAAACTGAGGAAACAACATATGATTTTTAAAATAAATAATTCAATCATTCCTACGAATCCATTCAAACTTATCTACAAAGTTTTCCTACTCTCTCTTACGTAGGATTTGACAGCCATCACATTCAAACAAACATGTATTTCACATGTATCTGCTTTCATGCCCAACATGTTTTCAAGGTTATGACTCTTATTACTTATGCATTTAGACTTGTAGGTCCCCCCTCCTTCCCGATTCCTTGTCTCAGTGGGCTCAGGTGGGCCTGCGGAGGACCACGCAGGCCCCAATTTTCCCCCTGACTGGTTTTAACATAAGGGGTAATGTGAGAGGCGCAGGCACGGGCTCTTCCACACCATCTCCTCCCCCAGAGGGAAACTCTGAGCCGGGCTAGATCCCGCATGCAGCCCCTCCTGCTGTGGAAAACGTGGTCTTCAGTGCCACCATACCATTACTGCCTGCCATATCCCTCTATTATTTACTTCTCCTCTTTCTCTCTGTTTGCTCCCTGGAGCCTGCCAGCACCATATCTCGTTTGGCGAGGTAGAATAGACGTCTTTATCTCAGGGAGGTGAGGACGAGAAGGCAAGGAGCTTGGGGACTGAAAATGTGTCTGTATACACATACACATACAGACGGAAGCCATGCTTTGACCAAGAGCTTCACGGGCACACTTGTATATCTCAGAAAAAAATCTTTACAGTTTTATTACCCAAATATATCCAATGTCTTGGTTCTGCACACACACATACACAGAGCAAAGTCCATTATCACACAAGCCTTTTTGTAATGGATTTCCTTGTTTTGCTTCAGTGAGAGGGAAGAGGAGGTGGTGGAGGGGAGAGAAGCCTTCTGTTGTTGTTATAAATCACCTGCTCGTTCTCTCACACCTCTCTCCCTCCCGTTTCTCCGTCCCATGCTATCCCACAATGCCCCCCTCCACCCGGCACATAATCAGCCCCAAGCACAGGAACCCCCTAGAAAGTCTCTTTCACTGCAAAGCCTCTCAGCATCCCTCCTCACTTCGGTTTGCTTACTCTATCGCTCTCTTCAGCCTATATTTTATTATCTTTCTCATCACCTTTACTTTTCTCTTTAGAGATTACGGTTATATTTGCACATTTTCTTTTTGATTTCAGACTCTTCGAAGGTCCAATATTTAAGCATAATCGTGAACAGTTTTATTTGAACAAACTTGAATATAGCTAAGGAAACTGAACAATTAAAAGTTGTTTTTGCTTTAAGCAAATGTGTCAATCAACTTGATTGTGGGGGGGGGGGGGAGGA